AACGAATCAGGAGAGAAAAGTAAGAATCCAAACCTAAACAAAATTCTAAATTCATATTTCAATTGAATGCCAATAAAAAATATCAGATGCTCAAGATTTAGTCGAACCCCCCCTCCTTCCAAGAATATATGGATGAACGAAATTCTTGATTCAAAAAATAACAAGATAACATACCTGATATCATTGTAGAATCTATGGGATCTATTCTCCTTTGAACACTACAAGATGATTGCCATGGTGGTAGACGGATGAAGAAATAGAAGGCGCAAATAGTGCAGAATGTACTTGGAGGCCTCCAGCTTTATAGCAGTTTTTAAGTGGCCCATTTCAAAAGTACTATCTGTTGGATATTTGTGTTCATCTGTTTCCTTTATGAAACACTTCTATTGTACTATTTGTTATATTCTGCATTTGGCTTTCTGTCTGGCTGCTTTGTAGGGGCTTGGCCACCCCACTTATGTACTTTTACTCTCTCTCTATATATATATATATATATATATATATATATATATATATATATATAGGGGTGAGATCAGGTGAGAAGGCTCTTTGGTAAGAGAAAAAAGAATGATTTTCGGGCCTTGGATCTTGTTGATCACACGGCTGTGGGGGGTCCAAGCATTTTAAATAGCAAATTTTTTTAAAAGGAAAGGAAGGATACGGTGCATTAAAAAAGGGAAGACAGCTGTACGAAGGGTATTATGGTCTCAATGAATGAATAATTACTCGCTGCTATGGCGGAATAGTCGCATCTGTCTCACATCTCTACGTTCCAGGGTTTCGACGCACCATCTCCGATCTTCATCATTTTGTTTCCGCTTCTCGATTAGAAAATAAATTCATCATCTCCAGCAATGTCCGATTCCATAGCTTCTACTCTCCGGTTCCTTTTCAAGCTATGGCGTTTGAATTTGAACATGATATGTAGGTATTTTATTTCATCCATTTTAGGGTTCATATATAAAATATTAGAGGGGCATAATTATGGGTTGAGGTAGATGTTTTTAGAATTTGTTCGTAATTGAGACGAGTGGTTAAACTTTTCCTCTCTGGATTTTCTCAACACAGTGTTCATGTTCACTGGAGTACTTTATTTGTAAGAAATGCAACATAATTTCATTATGGTGCATTCTTCACCGA